TGGGATGCATAGTTTTGAAGCATTCTTTACTCAAATCCAAGACATGAATTACTTTTTGGAGAATGGTTATGACCCTTTTCAATTAAGCGAATCGGAGTGTCGGTATGATCGACAAAAGTGCATTAAGTAAAGAGATGGCAAATAATTTTCTAAATTTAAAAAAGGGACGATGCGGTAAATTTTCAGGGATGGAGTTTTTGAATCTGCTATTTATGTAGACGCCGCGACCAGTCTAGGTTTTAAGAATGCATGAACCAAAAGTAGTTTTATTTAATTTTATAACTCAAACACCACTGATTACTCAAAATTAAAAAAAGAGGAGTAGGGATGCTACTTTGAATGAGCCCATTCATTTGGGTGGAGAACAATTTTACAATTTATTGCAAAGTTGTGCATTGACTGCCTCACACGAAAAGTGTGGCCACGTTCGATGGAGGTTAATATTTGTGTCAGTGTGACACGCACTCCACGGTCGTGCCTAATCTAAAAGTTCGTTTCGGGGAATTAAAAGGGGAATTGGGATTCATATGGAGAGATTCGTGGCGCAAAATACCATCTCCTACTTTTGATTAAATCATTTCAACGTAATTAACTATCAGTCTGCTCTATCTAAAAAGGGGGTCGCATTCTCATTCCATAGTTTAAAGTGAAGATTGACAACTTTTTAAAACTAAACTTTATAAGTTGCATCACCTTTTAAATGTGACCATCGGTCTGACAGGTTCCTGGCTGTCAAGAATCACTCGACTATTTCAAAATTCGGCGTCAATTTGTACGACTTCTTCGACAGCTGCCGAGACGCGAGTTATGTGCACGTACGTACGCACTACGAACACTTTTAGAATGAAGTGTAACTTAATTTTAATAGGGAAAAATTAAGATGCTTTTGAAAAAGTTTCTTTTTACACGTTTCACACTGACCTTCAACATTACTGATGAAGGTAAGTATGCAAACTTTGGTAAATACTACAAAAGTCACTCGAAAATTGTTTGCAAAAAGCTCTGATGATACAGATGAGTTGGATACTACGTGGCATTAGGATTTTTGATAACCCAGTAGAAGAAGCGGTTTAGGTTTCTCTTTTTTCAATCAATTCCAATGTGTACACTGGTGCAAAAGGCAGAGTCATATGAATAATAATAGGGCAGAATTTAATTGATAATGCAAAGTGCTTTGGACCAAGCCTTTGTTCGAAGCACCGGGCATCCGGTTTCTCGCCTCATTACGCGTCTGCTTATAAGGTTTTCTCGTAACTGGTTATTGGCCAAATCACCGAATTCCGTGTTTGACTAATTTTTGAATAGATTCATAAAAATCTAGCACAAACGGTGTTAGGGGAAAATGTTCAAAGCTTGACCATTTGCGCCGTTGGCAGCAATAAATGATGGTGCAGGTACACTTTCATCTATTCAGTCAGCACTTCGCCACAACGAGAATCTTTGTATGTGAAATACTTCAGCTGATATTAATCTTTATTTGGGTTTCCCGTGTGTGAATTATTCAGGCTCGTTTTCGCTTGTTCCAGGTGGGTAAAAACTGCTTTCACGCGGAAATGCCGGAGTGGAGGTTGGAACCGCCTGCATTTGAGTAACCCGTAGCCTCCTTGTAATTTGACGGGGCTTTCTGATGAGTTTAGATCTTCAAAATACCTCTCCCAGTTCTGCCAGTGGCTAAAGCATTTTATTTATCAACACCTAAAATACACAGTCTGTCACGAAAAAAGTTAATTTAGCAATTAGCAATGATTAACTTGGGAATCCTTAACAGACTAATGAGGCATTCACTTCCTGTGAGGCCTAGGCACAATCTAATGAACCACCTTTTTCCATGTGGCGTTACTTCACCACACCGTAATCACACAACCCCTGCAGCTATTACCTAACCAATAAGATGACTTGTTAAGAAGGCTGTTGATCAAACTTTCAGACATTAAATAAAAGATTGAAATTTGTAACGAAAGCATAAGAAAATAGACTCGAGAAATGGTATCGGTGGTATTAATGGCGTTTAACAATTAATGGCTAGTTTCATCTATCTACGCTTTTCGTCTCATATGTTTGACGGATCAGAGAAATGCCTACGCGACTTTGGATGCGGTACATGTGGCGTATTTCTATAGTAAGAGAAGGTTAAATGGAAGTATACAATCAGTACATTAGTAAGTGAATTGACCACCTTTATCTACGCTCACACGATTCTGTTTATCGTAAAGCAACTGCAACAAAATCATTTTTATGACAAATATTGCAAAGAACAGCATTTATGTGGTCGTTTTATGCATCACCGTTCCTTCCTTGAAGAGAGCGCTAAATGCCTATTTTAGTTAATTCCAATCCACCAGCAACTAAGGTAACCGATATATTTGGTTGCATTAAATTTCCTTTCGACCACCAAAAGGAATAACAACCATCTCAGAGTTATATGATTATGGAAGCAAAGATTAAATAGAATGCCGCACTTTGAAGCCTCGTCATCTCAGGTACTATATTCTTTAGTGTTTAATAAAGACTGAGCTCTCACTCAACTGGCGTTCTGTAGTTAAGTTTTAAACTTTATCGGCCGAGATCTAGTTATGTTGCTCACGTGATCAGAGAGGTCCTGACATTGTTTGGTCTGTTTTACGCCAGAATCACCGTTTAAGCAATGGGTGCTTCTATGACTCCTGTCATAATCTACATCATCAACTCAAATCACTGCATGATTTCCTCTGCATCGGCAATTTTGCTAGGCTAAATATCCTATCGAAAGCATGTAGTAAATTTGCAAAATAGACGCTGTAGTAATTAAATCAACGAATTGCTCGCGACTGCAATTATCCTTTACTGAGATGCGGAAATCGTGCGATCTTTTTGAATCACACTTTTGTAGACCCTGATTCCAAACCTCAAAGTTAAGTGAGCGTACTTATAAAAAGGATTGATACTACCAAAAAGGTGGTAAATAGTTATGCTAGATACCTTATCATAATGCCATAATTTATATTTGATCACTTTAATGCGAAAAGCCTTCGGCTTCTCGTGCAGCTCCTAAATTGAGAAGAATATCAAGTTTGCGGTTTTGGTCAAAATTCAACCGTCCAAATTAGACTAAAAGCATAATATTCGCACACATAACCCTTCTTCCATTTCCATTTCTTGCTTTGGAGAGATTTGCCGTCTCGTGGGGCACCGCTACATTGTCAGCATTCTGAAGCAGTTTGGAGAGTCCCTACACAAGTAACCCAAAATCAGGGAGTGTAAAACTGTATGGCAGCATTCCGCCATTAACAATCTTGTTAAGACTTTACCCTTGGACTTATTTATTATGCCGAGCTACGATTATGTTTACCTATTCTACTATGGGTTCCAAACCGTAAACTAAAACGTGTTCGTGACTGTCGATAACAAAGCACAGTCAACTATAGCAACACCTTAACGCATTCTCCATTGAAGATGCACATTAGTTTAATGCTCCATCTTGACTATCGGTTATCAAAACTTGAATATCACAAATGAGGTATACAAATACAACTTCTAGTAGGGTTTTCGCTGATCCTTTCTTTACATATGCTTTCCATCTGCGTGCAAAGTTTGTACGCGTTCGTTTTATGCAGAAAACATATATAGATAAGTTTATGCATATGCAATGCCTTAATTGCTTGTTTAACTCTCGTTTCGGTAAGAGGACCATCTAGGATCTCCACCATTGTACCTTTCCCAGGAGGGCGGGCCTTTAGCCCAAGCCAACAGTCCCAGGTACCACTCTATGTCCAATATATGTATTGTTCAATTATTATGCCTTATTTTGTCTTAGGGCAAGTCTCGGTGCTTTACATTTGTGGCATGGAATGCGAACCCGGTCTCGAAGTGCATTTGCTGTGGATGGGGGAATCGGTGAAGACCCATGATAGAGGGACTGAAAATGACTTCTATTTTCGACAACCACCCCAGTCCGTGGTCTGCAGGAATGTTATTAACAACTGAAGCGACACTAGCCATGAGTATTTGGTAATGTGTTACGGGGCTGCTTGCCATACCTGTGTGAAGATATTGAATGTGTGAAAATGCGATACCTCCTCCACTTCTCATCCAGTTGGAGAGAACCCAGATAGGTATGGCTGCCCAACTCTGAAGCGAAAACAACGTGGAAAGGAGGAGAAGGAGCCAAAGCCTACCCACACAGAACTACGCTCAATGGCGTCCTTTGTTGCACGATTCTACCTTTACGCCAGTGTTCTTACTACTAGCTATGAACACGCGTGATAGCCAGCACATTCCCTGTTCCCAAATCCACCTCCCCTACAAGACGAAACCTCTGATACAGTAGAGTTGGCAAGAGGAATCAATGACGCTGTAGTCAGATATCTCCTCCCTTGCATGGAAATTCGATGACTATCACGGTTGACTAGTGAGTGTTTCTTTACGGCACCGAATACAGTGTGATAGCTGATGAGGGAAATTAATTAAGGGGAGTGTCGGAAATTATGCACAGAAAAGGAGAGGGGCTGCTTTACACGTTAAAGGCTTGTTTAAATTTCGGTTTTGGTGATGGGAACACTTTGTGTTTGGGTCATTATACCTTCGCTGGGTGGGCTGGTCTGTAGGCCATATTAGTAGCCGCAAGTCCTTCTGCGTGTCGATAATAGGTATTCTGCCCTGCTATTATGTATTCTAGGGATGTTTCAGCACTCTATAGTACGCTGAGTCTAAAATTACCTCAAGCCGATGTAGTTAAAGATCATGAATTATTCCCCATGGGGCAAAAACAGTGGAATAATTTTTACTCCCCGTTTATACATGAGAAACATTTAGAAATATCAGCGCAGAAGTACGAATAACTGGATTTTTCTTTGTGACTACATTTTCAATACACATTACCATTTAACAAAACCGTAAAATACTTGGAGATGAAGTTAAAAATGCAACAAGCATTTTGCATTTGAACGTATTTCTACATCATTCCTAATCAGATAACTATTTCAGTTGTGAAGAAATGCTATATTTTACTATTTCTTCTAAAATTACCAGCGTTGCTTTCCAGTTCTGAATCCATTATTACCACATGTAAGAATTTTAACAAAAGCCTTGCGGTAATCCGGTGAAAACACAGTGTAAATGATAGGATTCAATGGGGAGTTCAAGTAGCCCAACCAGAGGAAGAATCTCCCACCAGCTGTGGGCAGGACGAACACCTTGCCGCAGAAGGGCTGTACTAAGGCGTTCACGGAGAAGGGAATCCAGCAGAGTAGGAAGCAGGCCGTAAGTATTGCCAGCGTGGGGGCCGCTCGGCGCTCACGTCGGTGTTCTAATCGCTCTCGTCGCGCCACCACCGTCTCGACGGCTGCCACTGAGAAATCCTTATTGAGGTGGCTCCTCTTCACCGACATAAGGGCACAGCTAATGTTAATATCAAAGGCGTACTTGCGTTTTCTCTCGCAGGGGAGGTGGTTGAAATTGATACAACCGTTCGCCTTCGGCGAAGGTGTTCGCAAAGGTGAGGGCGGAGATGAGGATAGGTGTTGCAGGTCAAAGGCACGATGAGGTGTTGGAAGGGGTGTCTGGGGAATGAATGAGGACTGAATGGCAGGTACGTCATTTGGATGTGGTGAGGAGGATGGGGAATGACCACAATCGTAGACCACATCGTCGATGTCGTTACCATTGTCAACCCAAATGGTGGGGTTAAAGAGGCGTGCACTTTTGATACAGTACCGCGATAGGTCAGTACTGGTTGAAAAGACCCGTTGTTCCTTTAACGAGCGGTTTCACCGGACTAGGTGGGACTCCACTGATTGTGGCCGCCTCTGTAAGGGTAATGGTGGACTCACAGGTCTTCATAGTGGTGGTAGCAGAGGAGGGACATTCTAACCACTTGAATTTGTTGCGTCGAATCCGCTTCCGTGCAGAAGCGTAGATTTTGATGTAGATAAAAAGAAGGAAGGTCATGGGCAGAAAGAAGGAGCCTACGGTTGAGAAGACTGTGTAAACCCTATCATTATTGATAACACAGCTTCTGTGTTTAAGAACTTGTGCAATAAGATTGCTGGACTCAGTTATGGTGAATCGACTCGGTAGAGATATAGTTATAGCAGCAAACCACGTGAAAAATATCATTCCGAAGATTATTTTTTTATTATTCCTTCGACTGTAGTCAGCATGAGTGACTGCCCAGTACCGGTCTATTGCGATGTCCACAAGGTGTAAAATGGAGGCCGTGCAGCAGAGAACATCCATGACGATCCAAAAGTCGCAAATTGACAAGCCTAGGTAAAAGCGAAAGGAAGGGCAATTAACTCAACTCAGCTTTAATCAAACTGCTAAGAGTCGTTCCAATACATGATCCTGTTGTAGTTGTGCATATTTCAGTTACTGGCACACCAATGTGGAGGAGCAATTTCACCAAGTTGGGGAAAGCGGTATGCCCCTGATGTGTGTAAGTGCAAATGTTTCGGGCAATAATGCATTAGTATTTCACGTATCATTGTAAAATTGGAGGCCGAGGGGCAGTTAAAGGAATTGAAAGTAAACAGCTGTGTTTGAATTCCACATTACCGACACTTTAGTCTGATTCGTTACGTAAATGGACAGGTAGGGCTTTTGTGCCAGGCCCGCGGGGTTGAAAACGTTTTTTTACAAGTTAATCCATGCAATAGAAAGCTACCTGTAAAAGAACTTAAAACTGATTAACTTTTGTGGGGAAGCGATGTGCTAAGTCTTTTGGTTTGCTGTTGGTAAAGTTAATGGCAAAACCGGATTGGGTATCTGAAGCCAGGGACTAACGACACCGTAAGTGCTACCATTCACTCTGGATACACAATGTTAACACCTCATCTATGATCGTTTTCATTTCTTAAAAGACAAAATTAGTACCACTCTCAAAACAACTTGGACATGAGATGACTGCATAACCGATTAACCAGATTTACAAGCACAACAGTTCTTCAACAGATCCCATCTAGTGTACAGAAAATGTATCCAAAGCCCCTTTCAAAAAACAGCCTTGTTTGGAATTTCCGTAAATAACATTTTGAAAAAGCATCCACTTAGTGGTTAAAAACATAGTCTGATAGAATCAAACAATATTTAGAAAGTTCGGCAACAGTTCCCAAATTAGTTTTATAAATAAATGCTCTTTTGATATTGTTAAAAGTGGCTTTCAGAATGATAAAGCAATATGTAATGAAACGGGGCAACCAGTGGTAAGATAATATATCGTAAAATATGGCATCATAGGCCAACTCATCCTTGATTATCTGTTTATAGGAGAGCTAGCCCAATCTATTCATAACTGGCTACAGTGGATAAGGTGACACTGCTTTTACGAAGGATCGGACGTGAGTCTTGACGAGAGGTGACCATTCTTACGATGGATTCAAGGTGGTCATATTTCAGGCACATGACACAATACATCAAATCTTTAAATGCAAATGCTAGAATTCCATTATCTACTTAAGATGATTTCAAAGACAAAATTTCACTATTTGCGTAGGGCGAAATAATATTACTTCGAAATCGTACTTTTCCTCTCCTTTTTTGCGTTTAAAACATGGTCACAAAATAAGGAGAACAATAATGCTTCTGTTGACATTTCTTATCAGCTGGTGGGGGTCAAAAGACCATTAAGTGGTGTGCTATACCGACGGGGCATACCGAATTGCATCGGACGGCCAAATTAAAAGCATTTTACCTGATGTCCACTTTTGAACCAAGCCAACACACTTAAAAATCAGCTGTAGCTCGTGTGCGCCACTTTGAAGAGGGTATTTTGCTTAATCACAATTTGGGCCCAAATACTTTCTTTTAAGTTGATTCTTGAAAGTTTTATTATCTCTAGAACATTCACGAATTATCCTCAGCTTTCATCTCTTCAATGGTTGTCCCACACAACTTGTAGAAGGGTGGGTTCAAAATATATACTATACTGGAATGCCATTACCATGTTTATTTTCTCAATACTTAGGCTTTATAGGTGCCTTTATCAAATATCGTTGCATTTGGAGACCAGTGGGATGCTACGCAGGACCCAAGACAAGGGATAGCAGATTCGCGCCATGTTTGTGCGATGGTCTCCAGCTTTAGAGGTGGGTTAAGGAGCGATATGTACGATTTAACAAACATTGTTTACTTCATCCTAACTTTACAACCTTGTGCCAAAATATGAAATGGGGTCTTTAAAACTAAGATTTTTTGCAAAATCTAATGAAATTAATGCAGTTAATTACCTTCATGTAAATGATTCTAGGCTAGTTCTCCCTTATGTATTTACCAGCTCAAGAACCAAGTGACTATATTACCGCAACTGTGCCTTCAGTCGCTACAACAGATTTCAATCATGCATGCATGCTTCTTGCCCGTCATGTGAGTCGAGCGATTGTGGTTTATTCATGGATGCATCTCATGGCTTCTGCATTAAACTTTTCATCGAGCTATAAGCTCACTAATTTGAGGCTTCCAAAGCCTGACTTAAAGTGAAGGCTTGGGGCGAAATCTTCCGTATGTGGTTTGCGACAAGCATTAAATCGCAACTTTTGGAAGACATCTACTGTGTATAATCTTGTAGCTATTCAAAGTGGCCGCAAATGGTACGAACTCCATCACCATGCATAAATGAATACTTAATGACGTAGTACAAGTTACTAATGCACATGCCATAATATGGCATAATTTAAGCGATTGAAGAATTTCACTGAGTCACCCCCTTTAGTGCAATTAATTGGCGGATTTTCAGAGCTTTACGAAGTTTGGTTTTGTCCAAGACGAAAAAACTAACCTGCAACAAAGAACGAAAGCAATGCTAATAATGCTGAAGTTCCTCATAGGTTGAAACGTAGAACTAATAAAAACTTTCTTTAGGGGCACAACCTACAGCCATAAAACTTCCACCCATTTGAATATTCGTTGATGGTTTAAGTCACGGAAGCCTCGGACTCAACCGAACGAGATCAAATTATGGCAAAGTTAGGGGAAAAAGAGAAGAAGCACCACTAGAAGTCACGCCTGGCACGTGGTTTTTAATTACCTTACAGATGGCAGGATTTACCCGTATTACCAATTAGGCTACTCTAAATCAAAAGTGTTGACCTACTCTCAAGGATATCCGGAAATAGAATAATTAAAGTTCCATAATAGGGAGTAAATGAAACCACTACTTTTTAAGCAAATGATGCTTGTAGATTAGGTAATTTTAGAATGAGGGTGGTAAGCCAATTCAGAGGGTGTAACAAACGGACTACACTTGTTAACCCTGACGAATTGGCACAAAATAGCAACAACCACTAGATTGACGAGCGGATCAGTGATGTAGCAGCAAGAAAATTTTCCATATGAAATTCTGAGACTGTTCTACTATTGGTGAAGTGGACCATCAAATATCCATAAACAAGGGACTACAAAAAACCCGAATAGAACTTTTAAAAAAAGTGTCTGCCACTTTGAAGAAACACATTCTGTGTCCATGGATTAGCATTTGTATATGCCTAAGTGTAGGCACTTTATGCGATAAAGATGGTGCAGCTTATTACCTCTTCATAAAAGTTCAGGAGAGCAGTCGAAGGGTTGACTGGAAGAAGCAATATTAGCCCCACAGGCGATTCCGTTGTTGCCTATCAATGCACCTTGTACACTAATCAATGAATTACAAGCCCTTAACATAGAACTCATCCAATTGCAATTTCCTACATTTAAATCAACAATCAAATTTGAGATTACTTTTAAAATAAATAACTACTCACAGTTGTTGAATTGAACAAGGCGATTTTGATATAGAGTTGGTTATAAATGTGCTTGTCAGTTACAGAAATTGCTCTGTCCCCCAGTATGTGGCTATACAAAAGTAGATCTCTCATTTCAGATGAGTACGGTGATGTTGGCTCGAACGTACAAGACCACCCAAAACATGTACTTAAAACCATCACCGTTTGCCTCGGGACGAATAAAGCAATCTTTCCGGCTTTGGGTGAATTTTGCATGTAAAAACGAAGTCATGGAAATGTGGAAAAAATTAAGCTAAGGCCTGTTTGAGTGCAGAAATGGTGAGATTAAGACAGTTATTTTCCTTCAAAAAGGTTGTTAGTGTGACTCACCTCCTTTATAAACCATACTCTGAACTCAAAAAACAAAATAATGTGATTCTACATCCAATAACCCGATTTCGGAAAGGATTGACATAGATAGGCTAGATTTTATTGATGGATGAGCTTCTTACCAGCATTAGACAGTCGGCGGTTTTGCAACAAACCAGAGTACAACCACTCAAGATACCGGGGGGACAGTCAAGGAGGGTCTTTCGCCCCTAAACTAAATCAAGCGATACGTTAGTCTTGCCTCATATGTGAAGCGAAATCCTCGGGGACATAGCACCCTTTTGAATTGCTTTCCATTTAAATCCCTACAGCATTAATAGAGCACCAAATTGTGTCATCCTAGCCACCATTCCTAACGTTTTTGGATCGGGATAGATGTGCATTTGAGAATTCGTTCGAATCGTCGCAAATAAACTGATGCAGATTATTGTCATTTATTTGCAAACAATATTACACCTCAGGTTTTGGTTCATGCATCTATTTAACTCGACAAATACCAGTAAAATAATTTTAAGCCCTAGGAATTGAAAAAAGTGACTTAAAAAAGAGATGATCATAGATCTTGATCCGACAGACCGGGAAAATGAGGTGCCCATATTTACATTCTTGTCACGACTATCTCTTCATCGTGAGGGTAATTGATGCGCGGCAAGATCTACTTATGGTATTGCAGGTCGCAAACGCAAAAAATTTCACCTTAAAACAATTGTAGAATAGCAGTAGAACCTTATCTAGAATTCCCTTAGCCAAGAGAATTTGTAATTTTGCATTAGATCAACTTTACACTTAAAAGTTTGGGACGAATCCCACCACGTGAATGTAAATGCGAGAAATAGCGATAGTGGTGTTTGCCAACTATAACCAAATATTCTTCGAATTGCAAACTAATGAAAATGGTCCGGTTTTTCATGCAAAAATAAATAAATAGCCATAATTTTCAGTTTCAGCCAAAACAAATTACTTGGTAGTAATTAAGGACTGCGAAATTCGTAATTGTCTGCAGATAAATAAGTTATTAACAAAGACCTTATGAATACCACACACTTTTCCCAGCCGTATTCCTTTACAAAAGATTTCACGCTACGAGAACCTAGATGGTGTTTGTTGTAGGCAGTTCAGTTAATCAACCACTTTTCTATCGAAATGAACGCCCTTTACATCCTTAAATGGCAGCCTCAAACACGCCAAGTGCTTGCTTTACTGCAGGACTAGACGAGCAGCCACTTCTGGCATGCAGTTTTTAATCTCACATAATGCAAAAAGAAGTGAAAAAAATAAAAAAACAATTGTCGCAGAACTCTACTTCATTTAAGTTATGACTACAACGGCATGAATCCTCTCGTTGAGGGATTTCCACTTGAATGCACCCAACTTCTGTATTAAGGCACAAATCACCGTTAAGGGTCTCACAAAGAAGATTCACTGTGAAACCATTAGGAAAAGTGCCGTTGTGTACTAGGTATAATAAGAGAAAATTAGATGCTGTTCTTAAAAGTGCCCAAACACCCGGATTGCGGAGTACGATTTGTTGACGTTTTCTTACTACTTTGAAGGTAAGAGACGATTCGCAGTACCGCTGTTTTGCTGTACATGAATATTCTAAAAAAGTAATTAGTTAATTGTGCAACATCTACTTTGTTCCCTCAAGGCAGACGACAACGAATAAGTAGTAAAATAGAGCAGCAGTGGAGGGGTAAGCAGCTTGTAATTACGACTGCATTTGGATTTGTAGTAATCTGAAGGACGGGATACCAAAGCATGTGCAAACTAATCAAATAAAGTCATAACTTGTTAATGATTTATTTTGAAGCTATGTGTGTAAAAGCGAAATGCTATTTGTGTTGCCATCGTAGAGATGGGAGAAGCAAACGTACCCATGAACCACCTCGTGGAGACCGCATCCAGTGCACTGATGGGCATGACCAAAGCAGCAAGCATTAAGTCGGCAACAGCAAGGCTGACAGTTAGGTAATTGGAGAATCGCTAAAAAAGCGGAAGTGTGCAGTTTTTTGATAAGCAATAAAGTCATCTACTAATAGGAATGTCCTTTTGGTGGCCACACAGAAGGCGTAACGAAGAGACTGTCACATGTGCTCACGACGTCGTGAATCCAATTTGATAAGCGCATTCCCTATTTCACTCCTGTCAGCATCACCGAACTGCTTCCACAACTACAGTATTCTGCATAAATGCATAACGACTAAAGGATTAAAATAAACTACACTTTCTTTAGGTATCACGGCCATCTCCCTGTTAGTACTTAGCCAAAAATCTATTTTGGTGGGACTATACGTCTATAAATATTTTTGTTATGAAGGCATAAGATTATTGAGTCGTTATTAGATTGTTCCAAAGTGATTACCGTGCCTAGTTTTTAATCAAAGATGCATCACATCAAAATTTTATTCGTGCCAAGGTAGTAAGCAATCGTATAAGTAAATGGACATTTCCACCCATTTCAACCCAAAGAAATGGAGGAGAAAGAGAAGAAAAAGAAAAAAAGAGGAGAACACTTCGTTACCCACCACCAACATGCTACATTTAAATTCCACTATATTTTCATAAGTGCTACTAATGCCATTATCAAACCCATTTGTGAAGCCCACTCTATAGCGATGGAATTCTCGGACTTCATATTTCTCTTTATTTTTTGGTAGAAAACAATTTACTCGCATAAAAGGTATTGCTGCCTTAATATCTTTTAGCAATAAAGCACCATAGCAGAAGTGACAAGTAGTAGGAACCACTCTAGTCATCCTGATCCATTATGCTTAATGCATTCTTTTGGTGGATTACAGCCCTAGCAAAGCGACGAGAGTGTATTTTTTGTGGACCATAGGTTTTTCTGCCATCTGTGGTTAATGTTTAGTGATTTGGCATATTGTTCAACTCGGTGTTACATTGCGCAGGCACTTCAGTCTCCGTAGGTTGTCCGTCCACTCTACAGCATGGCCTTCGAGTCGTGCTAGTAGCCTCTCACCTCTTCTGTAAGTTGGCAATATGTTTCACTCCACTCCTTTGGCTTATTACGACTTTGAGTTCCAGCAACGCATGAAATGCTGTGTTATTTGGCTTGAAAATAGACGTTTTGAGCTATTTTTAAAAATCATTTTAACGTCCTTCCACGATGTTGCATAAGTGAAACTAAACGATAATGCGTTTAAGATGTTGGTACACGTTTTAGATCCTGAAGTGCCACCTATTATTTATATTTTGGAATGTTTCCGCAACTTTTAAGGGATCACAAATGTACCACTTTTACGCTAGGCTGTTTTGGAAAGAGCTGTAGTAGTTCAAAATAGATAAACTAGACTGATTGTACGCTTGTCATTGACGTTTGTATGGCAACTTTCGTAGGCTATAATGACGGCAAAGTGGAAAAATGTCACATTATAGTGTGGACAAGTTTTTAGAAGCAGCTAATTGTTCAATACCTTGTAGCAGTAGCTCCCAGCCATCGCAAGACACTTAGGCAATTGCAATAGGCTGTCGAGCGCATATGCTCCTTTTATGCAGAACAATAGCTGTCTCGAGTTGACATAAATCTCATCTTCAGTCTTGTGAAGTGAATTTGTTCAACTGCAGAGTCTCACCAACTAACGCAGCATAAAAATGAAACTGACATGGCATTGTGAAAATGAAAGGCAAATTAAAATCGGATCGCGTGTTATCACTTATAGTGTCTGGTTCTTTAATGAACATCACGTGATAAAGTCTTAAAGTGATATCTTTTGAGTCATTTCAGTGCCATTGGCAAGCTCCAATGGCTGAAATGTAAACACCGGTCACGCATTTTATTCTCATTTAGCATTGCCCAAGGCCTTAAATAATGTGCCCACAGTCAATTCAAAATTCTACTTAAAAATGCTTAAAAAGCGATGAGGCGTTTATAAGTCTTCCTCTTGTTCAGTTGTAAAAAATCCAGGCGTTTGCAGAAAACACTATGACAACTTTGCGACTGGAAATTGCACCAGAGGTGAAAAACATGACCAAGTCATAAAGATATTGAAATCAAATAAAATATGGAGATAAACGTAATAAAACTTTAAAAATATTAATGAGAACCACTGGTGTAAGTCTTTAAAGTACGCCAGTATTGGGGCGCTATTTTAGTAAATTTGTGTGAATTAAACAAAAGAGCGTGCAATACCTGCAGACTTCTTTCCAGAAAGAGCGCGGCTACAACCAATCCATTTCCAAATACTGTACAGAGGATAAGGCATGCGATGACGAGAAGCATGAGGATGGTGTACTCATTTTGGTAGTACGGTTCAAATCTACCTCTTGGACCCCATGCCACCGTTCCCCGGCAGAGTGCTTGATAAGCTGTTCGATTTTTCACTCTTTTAATCAAAAAAACAGTTGGTTCTCCATAGCGGAATTGTGCTTGACAGTCTGTTGGTTCTTTTGCGCATACCATTGGAATCGCATTTTGGAAAATAAGAAATAGGAGAAGTTGGGAAGTTCTTAATTGGCAACCCCTCATAAGCGATTGGCATTCGCATTAGGTCTGTCAAAAAGCAAATAGTGAGAATTTCTAAAAAAATGAAGCCTTACAGAATAAGAAAAGTCTTTATTAAAAAGAATTATCCGCAGTGAAGTGGGAGATGCGAAGAGTTGTCTGATTGGCTCCACAATCACAGGGAGATTCGCTGATTGGCTGAGAGAGGGTTTGTGAAACTGGAGCATCACCAAATAATTTGACGCATTTTTGCCAAAGCCTTACTTTTATTTAAGCTTTTCTTGACAGCTTAAGTAAAAAGAGGTTCCACTTAGTTCAAAAATATTAACAAATGATTTATCCAAACAATTGCCATGTAGAGATGTGCAATGTTGGTGCCTTGCATTATTGGGACGGAAGTGCATGCATTTAGTGTCAACTGTCATGACTCACAGCTTCACCGCAATCGCCCGAGCAAATATGCCGGAAATAAATACATCATTCAATTTCTCACATTAGACCATTATTTTGAAAATTGTAGGTAAATGAGGTCATGCAAAGAAGAATACAAATATTTGTTTTGGAGGACGCATTATAGAATTTGTAGAATACTGAGTATTCAGGTTAAACCTGATTTTATAAGCCATTCTAAGCCCACTAAGGGGTCGATTTAAGAAAAACCAACTAATGTTGATTTTAAGTGCTACGAGTATTTGTATTGTATTAGAATGCTAAGCAAGTGTGGTGTAATACTTAAGTTGTTTTAATGTACCTTTCAGGGAGAAGGCAATCAGGAAATACGAATCTCGTGATCGGATCGTCCTCTCCCGTACCTAGTGACTGCGGTTCCCCCCTTCTTAAACGTTGTACTTTCCCTCTCGATCTTTTCCTCTTTAATAAAGATGTCCAAATTGAATCAGCCGGGCTCGTCCAAGAACGCTAGGAGCATGGAAATGGATACCGATGAGTCTCGCCCTACAATGGTCATTCTAGTTACCACAGGTAAGTTAAAAATAGTTTTACTATGTAATTTGGGGTGAAAAGTGATGGTGTTTGTAAATAGTATTACTTGCATGAGACATAAACCCTAACAATCGTATCTTACGTCATTGAGCGATTTTGTGAGGGTGAGATCGCTAAACATCCATTAGAATATTCTTCACTTCTTTGTGTGCCCCTGAAAGCAGAAACAATGCTTACCAATCAACAACTGTTTAATGATCTTCACAATTGTACTTGCATTCATTGCAACCAGATCAAAGGAAAGTAATCCTCAATGTTATCACATTACCATGTATCCGCAATACGTGTTCATCAGAGATTTTTCACAATTTCCTACTAGGCTACTCAATCTTTGCGTTGTCAACATTTTGGGTCGAAAGAAGCCCGGTAGCTACTTTTGGCTGATGGCCTTCGAGCAGTTGGAAATAATTAATTTGTGTTTAAACGATGTTAAATGGTCCTTATAGATTCGAAGGGATGGTACTACTTATTTTTACCATATTCACAGGTATTCTGGTACCGATATCACCACAATAAATAAGTGTAAGCGTTAATTTGCCCGAAATGGTTCGTGTTTGCGGAATCAAGTAGTCTGAGTGTTGAGCAAGCGATAAATCTCGATCAACGCGCACGCGCAAAACGACCACCCTTTCCAAGGAGCTGCACGTGCTGATGAGAAGACTAAATGACGCCGCGCTTTGAATACTATGCGAGTCCTTTGAAGTGTCGGGATAGGTGCTAAATTAAAGTTACCGCGCTTTCGACAGACTAGGGTAATTAACTCTGACTTCACTTTTAACAGCTCACAATCATTCATTCACTTGCTCTACTAAACCTTTAATCTTTCCCTAAAAGCCTCTTGAGAATGGCCCTCATTCACAGTAGCCATTTAAAAGGCCGAAAAAACAACTTCATTTCAAAATGTGGCCAGACATTAGTTTTGCCTGTTCCTTGTCTGTACGTATAATGGTTCGCAAGGAAGAACGGCTTAAATTACAGAAGCTTGCCTTTTGCCATTGTTAAATACGACGATTGCGGTGGCTAAATTACTAAACATCTAAAAAAATTTCAAGACATCTTCTATGCTCCGCGTACTTTACTACCGCAATCCCCGAAATTAGTTCTTTTTCATCCGCTGGTTTAATGATTAAATTTCCTGGTTTAAGTTTTCTGTCTCATTGCATAAATAATATTCTCCACAACATTGTTCTTTAAATAATGGATATTTTTTGATGCTCCTAGTTATCTTTATTTTGGAAACTGTTGCAATAATACTTTGACCACTTGTTTATTTCTTCGTCTTGGCTGCGTGGGCACATAGGGCTCCACCTCTGTGCTTCCAGTGGGCGGCATGGCCTCCGGGTCATGCCAGTAGCACCTAGCCCCAGACTTTCTGTATGTCGGCAATGCATTTTCTGCCCAGTATTATGACAATTTGTCGTCTTTGGGATAGACTCGGGCGTTGCAGTACTAACTGCAGACCACTTATGTAACTAAAGTCATTCCGAAGAACCTATTTATACTTAATGCTATATTATAAGGCGCTTATCTTGAACATGCATTCCGGGAAAGCTTCTTTTTCCCTTATCATTCCTTTAAATTTGTCAATTTACGAATTGGCTACACTGGCATGTTTTTACTTAATTGACGAGTGCCTAATATCCGAAAATTACTCTGCAAGTTTCCGAATAATATCAGCCTTTTCTGTATCCTCCAACAACTTGGTAGCTTGATTTTATCCTCAGGGAAAGTCCGTGTGTTTGTCCGCTCAAAATATGTACTTGAAATCTTTACTTTATTTTGGGTACTCCTGACTAAATTACTTAGTCAAAGTTAAGACGAGCAATAATGTTAGTACATAGTTAGTCTTTTTAGAAATCAGTGAGTGCAAACTGCAAACTTTATGCTATTGTTATTGCCTGTAATGCCAAAGCCTACATACAGCTGGGTTAGTATCGCAGATGCACGATTGTGTTTACCGCCTATACATTAGTTAAATACTTTTATTGTTCTATTTAGAGTCCAAACATTCTTTTGCCCCTAGCCAGTATTCTAAGAAGGGAGTTTATTTTGCTGACAGAGATGAAACTTGCCTTATGTTGTTCATAGGGACGGATGTGACAGAAATCGTTGTGCAGACTCGAAAGTTTTAGATCCCATTGACATTATAAAAGATATTTCCTTTTATCCCGGAGCGCATAATGATTAAGAGTACTCCGTCGTACTTTATCCTGGCAAGAATAACCCTCTGTTTACCTTGGGAACAGGTAGTAGTAGGAACTGCGCAATTAAGGTACTCGATAAAACGCGAATACAACCCTGGCGTCTAGGTGAAAAACTCCTCTCTAGTAAGGCACTTATAAAGCAGCAGATGGTGTCACATTTGATCTAATAGAGTAACGTGAGTAACAAAATGAACCCATGGCACATAGGGTAAAGAATTGAGTGGTTTTAAATGACAAAAATCATAATGCGAATGTTCAGGTTGTAAAAGTAGATGGGAAGTCTAGAAGTACAATTAGCGCAACAGCAGCTAATGCTAATGGTAGTGCGATGAGGTTTTTGGCAATACTTCTGCATTGACAAGCTAATTTTTTTTTAGCTATTTACTGGAATATTTAATACGGATGCAAAGAGACCCGTCAATCTTTAAATTTGTTTAAAAGGCAGGCTAGAAATCCTACACTTGTTCGCATATTCACTTTTATTTTGCATCACATTTGCCACAGCTGCTAGCACAGTCATGTGTCTCTTGTTCTAATTAATGGCTTCTTTTCAAAAGTTTAACGTCTATCGAGTCAAAACTCTGTGATAATATTCTGGATCTTCATGACTATACTGAAATGGCCAACTTAATACCTATATCATAATAAAGAAGCACATACTTCCATGATAGTTTAATCAGCGCTATTAGTCATTTATCAATATAGCCCTAAGATCCCTGTATATGTTATAATTAATGTTACGACCTAACTAAGTTATGGCGCTCTTTTAATACCAGTATTCGTTTTGTTTCCACTGAGCTGTTCTGCTATTCTGATGTTTTGCTTATTTTAATACTTGCTTTTTGAGCAGATTGTTGCATCAGCTTTGCATCAGCCGACAAAATGGAAGTGATAGAACAGCTTAGAACTAAAACAGCCCTTGTGTTTTCCCAGTCTCCCAGAGATAATCTCGCGTCTGACAAAACTAAACGGTGCTTTGGTGCTTTGCGTGAACTTTCAACAACAATGACTTACACGATGTCGTGTGATCCAGATGTTGTCCAGATCATTGGGTCTGATAACTGTGTTAATTACTTCGTGACTGCCCTCAGTCTTGTCATGGATGAATTGCCCAACTATTCTGCAAAACACTTTGAGCAACCTGCAGTATCCAATTTTATTACTCTTTATGCGGTTTTATGGAACGTTACAGACAAAAGTTGCGATGTGTGCAACCGTTTTGTTTTGGCGGATGCATATATAACTATGTGGAAATTACTTTCTAAAGAGGAACTCTCCTCTGCCATCTACAAGTATACCAACGCTAGACTGCTTGTTCATTGTTCTCTGGGTATACTCCACAACTTGCTCCTTTACTGTCCCCGGGCACGGGATGACTATCGTGCGTGCGGTGGTGTAAAGATTTTGGACCCATACGTAGTTGATGCTTATGTTTCGGATGATTATGATTTTAACCCATTAATTCCTTTGAAAACAGCTGCTCTCTTTACTTTGGCTGCGATCGTGAATGAAAACGAGAATGTTTCAATCATTACAACAGATCAAGGAGTGCTAACTTATATTCTCTCAGCATTGCGTGATTCTTTGCAATCACCCCCCGATTACTATTCAACAAATTATGGTTATCACGCAGCTGAGGTGTTTGGGTGTCTCAGCTGCCTAGCTGGACTTGAATCAAATAAACGAAGTCTTTTTGAAAATAATGCTTTGGAACTCATATCAACCGCACTTCAGATCACACTTATGGTGAAGAATGGCTCCATTAAAATGGTTTCCAAAGCGGCAACAAGTTCAAGAGACAGCTACAAGTTTTCTGAAGATACATTGGCAAAGGAGGCCATTGATTTGCTATGGCATTTAACCTGCCTTCCTGAAGCTCGTGATCAACTTAAAGAAACCTCAGATTTGTATAAACTCTGCGCGCAATTTAATGATGTAAAGTGGACGTCTGAGTGCCGAAAATCGGTACAGGCACTATTTTGTACGCTTTCACAGCAGAGGAATTGGCTGGATGAGTGTGGCAATCTTGATACTTCTGCAATTACTGCATCTCCAAAACCACGTGGTCATGTGATGATAAGCTACAACAACATGGCGCAGAATCTTGTATCCAGGCTGAAGGAAGCACTTAGTCTGCGGGGCTGGAACGTTTGGATCTTTACCGAGCATTGTCGTATGATTTCATTTTTGATTGCGTATACTGTACTTTTTCATTTACAGACCTTTCATGTACTCTTTTATAGTTTTATCCCGTGGTACATTTTCGTATGCGTCAACCCAAATTCGCTTAACTTAAATTGGTTGATAATTTTTGCAACCGATTTCTTCACCCGACATTCATTCGCTCTTATAGTTTTCTAAATATCTATACTTTTGCTCTATGAATGTATTTACAGTAGATGGTTGCTTCTAGTGAAAAGTTCATTGACCCACGTGGCTCATAAATGTCTAGACAAATAGCTTTTTATCAATGGACCGGTTTTTTCAGCGTCTGCTGTATCTGCTGCGGTGCAGTTGTCTTAATGTACAGCTTTATTTCAAAGAAAAACATTAAAACCTATAAACATCGTACGCAATAATTATCTCTCTGCAATCCCTCAGTACGATTAAGTCGGTTAATATTAGCAATAATTGTTTCGAGAGGAGGTCGTTGTGTCCTTTACTGAATCTCGCAAAATGCCGACGTCGCGACAAAGCACGCTTTGTTCATGACGTTAAATGATTGTCCTGCACAAAATAGTGTCATGGGTGGAAAAATGTGAGAAAGTCTTGACTACGTGCACTTGACAGAAACATGTGCTTTGCAGCGGCTATTTGGCTTGAATAATTGTCTTCTACCCGTCTTTATTTGATTTATCTTGCTGCCCTCTTCCACCATTATGCTATAGAGATCAGTCAATTTTGAAAACCACTCCTATAATTTTTGTAGAATAGATTTTTCTGTTTTTATCGAAACTGTCTATTTACATATTTCTTTAATAAATACTGCTCATTTAAAATCTTTTTGTGAAATTATGTGATTTAATTCACTTTTTTCCTTTCATATACAGAGCACGGGTCCTTCTTGGAGCAAATGGCAGAGGCGGTTTTCGATTCTGCCGCGCTGATCCTCTGTTTGAGTTCTTTCTACAACAACTCTTGCCACTGCATCAAAGAAGTGATCTCAGCGTATGAGTATCGCATACCTCTACTACCGGTAGTGGTAGAGAGTGACTACGTTCCAATCAATTTCCTTCGTTTCCTTCTCACCGGAGTGCAGCCCATCCAGCTCTACAACGACTACCAGGTGGATGATGCGGCGGACAAGTTGACAGAGCAACTTCGGTGCTATGGCGTGATGCGGGAGGGTGCCAACGTGAGCCAGTCGCGCCCCCGAACGGGCTGCGTCTCTCGACGCAATCAGCCTCCCTCCATATCGATCGACGCCGTCAAGAGGCATCAGCGCTCCCGCTCCGACTGTCTCAACGGCATATTTTCCAATCGCCAATCCTCTGAGCCGACGCAGTTATCCATCTCAACGGGTAGAGCTCGATTTTGCCCTACAGCACATTGAAGCACTTTTTTCACTTGGCTTAATTACACCCCTCAGTGCCAATACCTGTCTGACCTTTCTGTGATTAGCGCCTTTAGCCATGGTTCACTGTCTACAGGACGGTAAAACTGTGAAAATGATGTCAGTCTAATGTCACTACCCACGTGCATCTGGGATAAAACGATGTATTTACAGATAAATCTCAACAATTTCTGCTTCGATCTGTGAAACTATTTTTAAAGTACTAATGAGAATCCTTGCAATGATCATTGCCAAACTTGGCATCATACTGCTTTTTATTCTATGAATATCCGGTTTCATAACAACCGACAGCTGGGGGAGATATAGCCGCTACATTCGTGCCTCCTGGCTTTAAGGAAATACTCATGCTATAGGTAAACTCTTTCCTTTAAAATAATGGCTATTGAATCTTCTTATTAGTATTTATCAGAAGCCTCTTACGTGCTGTTTAGCATAAATAACTGGACTCGATTTAGTCATAATCAAGTTAATATACAAAGTTGAGTGCACGCCTCAAAGCGCTTATGAGTCCGACTTGACTTGTTTAGCTTTGTGCCAGTTTTCTTATTATGAAGTATTTTGCACCGTTTTCAATATTCAGAAGCGTCAGCTCCTTTAACATCAATGGCCGGGAGTCCCACCTCCGCCTATCAATGTTTTTCTTGCCAACCGAAATGCCGTCCCTGTAAGTTATTCGCGATTTTCATGCCTCTCTCCTTGCATTGGTGGGATGTTCAAAATGCTGCTAGTCACAGTTCTTGTCCAAATGCCTCACCCACTAGGTGAAATGGAATAGCACCGAGGATCTATTTTTTTTCAACATTTTATTTATCCATAAAGGTTATTAGGATATCGCAAGGAACATTTATTAAGTGAGAAATCAAAACGCCTAACTTTTATTTTAGTAATATACTACCGATTGACAATCAATAAAAATGTTTTAATGGAGCACTGGGTTTGGCGCTTTATTGGAATGCGTTCGGTAGTCTAAAAGAAGATCCAGTTACTCTGGAACTTTTGTCTACAAGCTCAAAAATGTGTAGTTGTTGTACAAAAGGCAGTAATTCTAGCACCAGAACCATGAAAAGAATAAATTGAGCTTATATCGGGAGCAATGTGTTTAAGCTACTAGTATTAAAGTCGCAATTGTTTTTATCTGTAAAATAGTAAATAGAAAAGAATTTACCACACAAGCCATAGCAACAGTAAGAAGAATTAGTCTACATTATCGCAGTCAAAAACACTTGCTCGTTAAAGGTCTTCGTTAGCGGATGGAAACGATAAATTTTTGTAGATGCTACTACTAGATTTTGATGAGTCGTCGTAGACGTGTTAACCTTGTTGCTGCTCTGATTTATCGTGCTATGAGACCGCGTTAGCACAACACCTTTGCTGTGTATCGGACATAATAACATCTTGGAAAAGGAAGCAACATGTGAGTAATGCCGACCTGGGAAGCGATTTGACAATGAACTGTTAGACATGCATATGGAACTCGGGGAACCAGACTAAGATAATCTTTAGCAAATCCTTCATTCCTTGACCGTATTATTTTGTAGCAGCTGACTCTCCCAATTGATGCCGAAGACAATTCAGTCCAATCATTAATTTTGTTCCAAAATGAAACCTTTTTAGCTACTGCGGTAAAATCAGTACCTACCCATAGTTTGGTGTTTAGCTCAATAGATTTATGCAGGAGATCAAATCAGAGCTACAGAACTTATTTGTTGAATGACAGAAGGCATAGATAAACACCATATTTAATTGCCGCTTATTCGTGAGCTGAATAACTGAAGTGGGATTTGGGGTGAGATCTTAATTGTATTGTTTTACTGACATTGTATTTTTCACCTTGCATGTGTGGATTTGAATAACAGCTGCACTCCTCTCAAATCACGTAAACAGATACCGCACTCTTTGTCAAGAGTGGCAATCAAAATCGTATGCAAGACTTCTTCATGAGTGGAGAATGGAGGTGGGGGGGAGGATGTTACGCTGACAAAAAATGTGTAGATGATGAGAATTTGTGTCTCCTTTCAGCGCAAGCCGCGGCGATTCCGGCGCGTTTGGTTCTGGCCTCTTCAAGTGCGAGTCCGCGAGGGCAACAGCAAGAGAGCGCGTACTTCTTCACCTCCACTCCGCACATTGACACGGCGTCAGCATCGTGCAGCTCTGCGGCTATCACAACGGTTCACCTGCCGGCGCCGCTGGAGGCCTATTTGGTAGAGCAGATCCCTTCAAAGGCGGTGCGTGGGTGGCAGGAGGAACAGGTGCGCCAGTGGCTGGCGGAGCACTCGCTTGCTCACTATGCACACGCCTTTGCGTGCATTAACGGATTGCAGCTCTACGAACTCGCCTGGCAGAGGATCCGCGGTTGCGACTCCTTCTTCCGAAACCTCAGTTTTGGCATGCACATGCCCCTTTACGAGCAGCTCCTCCTCTCCAGTGCCCTCGCCAGTCTCCACAATTATCCTGACCCCTCGCCCTCCTCTTAGTCCCCGCCATCACCACCACCGCCGGTGTATCCTGGTCTTTTATTCCCACCTGTACACAATTTGCATTCTTTTTTATTCAATGACTTTGTTATCTATTCTCTGTATCATCAACGCCCTAATCCCTTGTTAAAGTACACATTTTCTGTGAGGAAGACTGCTTTCTCGGATCATGATGTGGTTTGATATTCACTTGGTTAAATAAATGTAATTCATGGACTGTATGTTTTCAATAAAGTAGCTTACGTTCAAGAACGCACAATCACCCCGCACATTCTTTTCAATTGATGACTTGGTTGTCTACCATTTATTAGATGAATAGTGTGAATTAGCTCCCCACCAAAATGAAAAGCATTTTAATTTATGGTATGATAGAATTGTCAACTCTATCACGCATAAGCTGTATTTTTACTGGGTGGTTTACGCCCAAAAATGCTTCCACATTCCTTTTCTTCTCTTGCATTAGACGTCTTCTTTATCACCAAGAGTCAGCTCTTTTATTAAAGAGAAGAATTTATGCAAGGGAGCAATTTTGCTTTTGGACCAAGCTGTGATTGGGGCATGCACGTTGCCACCTTACTTTGCTTTTCTTGCTCCAAATATTTGGCATTCAGTCGGGCAGCTTACTTCAACTAAATAACCATACGATAGCAAAGTGACAAAAACTTAGGGTGTACCGCAGAGTGTTGACAGACGTTTGTTACTCAGTTGATTGAAATACTTGAAGCAATACCGCATAAATTGAATTGCAAAACTGCTACCTGGAGCACCAACAGGGGTATCGACTCATCCAACGTTCAAGTACAGCGCCTTGTCAACAAAAAATCGGAATTTTAGTTCGGATTTTACTTTGCAGGGTATATTTGCAGCTGTTTTTTACTGCTATGTGTTTACTTTTGATACTCAAAACCCTAGAAAATAGACAACTATCTGACATTTTTTTATGAGGAACATTTTAAAAGCAACCTTTGTGTCCATTTATAGTTGAGAGGGTTGGTTATTTAGCTCGTTGGTGGGCAGTTTGAAGCGGTAACGGCCCCAACCATATTATTATATGAAGAATAGTCTGTACCATCTGCATTTGGGATCAAATATACTACTGCTGCATCTCATTGTTATGGTTATAATCACTGGTCCAGTCGTACGCTAGTTTTTGGGAGTTCTCGATCATACTGATCCGTTGCATGGAGGAGAAATCTTGTAAACCGGTGGCTTGGACTTTTTTCCCCTCTGCTGTGTCCACAACGGAAATGTCACATTTTGTAAGGAGGCATGAGCCACTACAGATTGTCGGGAAAGTGCGCTCATCCAGTATCTGCCGTACTATGATTAGGCTACTCCTTGCTCTCCGCAGTGAATTGCCAACAAAGTACTAATGGTTTTATTTAAGATCAGCC